GGGACTACCCCACCCCCCTAAACTGGGCTGCATCCCTAGTTGGGCTTGCCTACCCCCTTTGTCAGTCGGCTCTCACTGCTCCAGCCTAGAGAGCAGAGGGGCAGGGCCAGCCCTGATCTCTGGAGCAGACAACCCAGTCCAGGGCTGGAAAGCATGCTGGGATGCTGGGGGACTGTGATTTAACTTGAACCAGGAAGGGGTTGGGGACAGAAGTTACATAAACTGGTTTGACCCAAATCTGTTAAGTCTGATACTACATTCAACCAGACTTATCTTAAACCAGTTTCATGTGCACTGAGTTTCTGTTCTGTTACAGGTTTAAACCAGTTTCTGATCACTTAAATTGGTTTATGTGTAACTTCTCTCTCTAGCCTTACAAACTGTGAGCGCTAAACTGCAAAATGGGTAGATTTCAGGTTGAGGTAACGCAGAGGCTGGGTTGTAATCCGTGTCCCCAGCTGAGCATGCTAGTTTGCTTTTAAGGAACTTGCAAATATGGCTTGGAGGTTCTTCTGTGTGAACAGTAGTGGGGCTTGGGCTAAACCCAGGTCAGAGCCTGTTCAGTGAAAACACACTCTAAATATTCTGCATTCATTTTCTTTTTTCTGTGTGAAGATGAATATTACTGGACACATTTAGGGGCTACAGAAAATCCCCCTCCTGCTCTTTCCTCACCATCACTCCAATTTGTCTTTCCTGTCCTTTTAAGGAAACCATTTGGAAGCTCTACTCTGTGATTAGCAAGGTGCACACAAGGTCACTGCTCTGTGCCTACCCACCTGTTGCTACTACCTTGCTTTCCCCTTCTGCAGCTTTACCTTTCCCATGTAGAGTGGCAACATGTAGCAGGTGCATGGGGGTGCTCACCCCCCCCCCCCCCAAGGAGTGCCGGTGTACCCCCTGACCGGCCATACTTGCCACTTAAGTGATGGGCAGGAGCGCCAGTGCCTCTCCTGCAAGCACCGGCCAGGGATTGGAGTGCCATTGTGCTCCCAGAAGCGGCTGCAAATCCTGTAAGTGGCTGGACCCCCCCTCTGGTCAGGGAGACCAGCCCCGGGAGACCC